AGAAGTACAATCAGACTATAAATTTTTTCAAAAAACAATAGGAACCATGATTTTTTGAGAAAATAATACTTTGATGGGTATTAGTCTGAAAGACACGTATGAATATTGGGAATTCTCGGTTAGTATGTAAGTAATATGTTCACAGTTTGTACTGTTTACAACAAAAAAATTTCAAAATAAGATAGAGATAAACTCAACATCTGCCTTCATTGAAATAGCTACAATCGAAATCAATGATGAGGAAACAAAATTAGATTTTTATTCGTTTTCTGTTTTTCAATTGTTTCATGATATGGATATTAATTATATCTGACTTGGTCATTTTTTAGTCGAGAAAGCTGTAAAAAATTTTTACTCATTGAATATTCTATATCAAGTATAAAAATTTCTTCATTAGTACTTACAAGAAAAGCTGTTGATTTATTTCTCAGTAAAACATTTGCTAAGAATCATCGTCAAAAATAAAACTGAAAGTAATTATATTCTTTCTCTTATTTTTAGAATATATGCATCCAAAATTCGGCTTACTAGACACGACTGATAAACTTCTATTGAAGCATGAATATGATCGTGTTGCTAAATTCATCCGTTTAGTTCCTCAGTAGAAAACACATTTTTTCTTCAACGAAATAATTTCCACTACTTTACACTAGGCTTGAATTTCTAAGTCGTGTTTCTCACGAATAAAATGTAGAAACTACGGAGAGATCCTGCTGATGTAACCATTTTTAGGTTTCCAACGCGTTTCTGAGTGTTTAACGCAAGAGTATTGGACGCGTTCGTACGCGTCCAAAATACAACATTTTTGGGTGTTCAAACGCGTTGAAACTAAAGAAATGCATCTCTACGCGTTTGAATTATACAAGCATCAGAACTCGTTTACATATGAAGACGCGTTTGTAGGCGTCCAAAATGCAATATTTTCAAGGGTGAGAACGCGTTCAGAAAACGAACATGTCTAGATACGTTTACTTAATTCTCAAAAAATTTTCAAAAATAATCGTCACTCTGTGTCGGATTCGAACCGACGCACCATAGCGAACTATGATATCACACTCTAATATCGTGAGCAACAGAGTGGAAATTTTTCCAACGAGAGTTTAAACCAAGATTTGAACACGCGACCATCGATTACAAACCGAACACAAGTAGGTCTGAGCTATATATAGCTGGAGAATACATATATGTTCATGAACCGAATGAATAACAATGTTTAAATTTTGTTCTAAGCAAAATGATGTTGATTATTATCACTTGGTATATGAAAATCAATAGAATGCATTCATAAGATCAAAATAAATGTATTTCTTATACTTATAAATATTAAATAAAAATAAATAAAAATTTCATGATTTACAAGATGAAGAAAAATTAAAGAATAAATGAAAATCTCTCTGATAAATAAAAAAATTTTTGTATAACAAAATTAAATAATTTTTTTTTCTTTCCGTTAATAACAGAATGTATATTGCTATTTAAAGTTAAGAAATTAAAAGAAAATACAAGATTAAGTTTTCATAAAAGAAAAATTATTATTTAACTTCCCTGATTTTTTTATTAATCAAATATTCATTTATGTTTCCTTATAACTCAAGAAATTATCTACCTTTATTTTTTGAGATAATTAAGATTTTCTTTGTTTTTAATTCATCTTTATCTCATAAAATATAAAAGTTTCATATAGACTCATATTCTTTATCGTGAAGAAGAATAAACATAAACTAACATTCCCATTGGAAAAATTACTTTGCTGAAGTTCAAATAAAATCAAGTAGTAGAAAATGAAAATAACATTCATAGAAATTATTTTGTGATATAGGAAGCAGATAATGAATTCAACAATAAAAGTGTTAAGATCGCAGTAGATCGTTTGCGCATTATTAGACTGTTTTGGAAATGCGATAGAATAAAGCATACAGTTTTGTCAACAGTTCAGTATTATCAATAAATATTTTCTTTTTTTTTACATTGAATGAAACTTTTAATCACATTGTAGTGCAGATAAATTCTATAGAATTTGCCTTCTAAAAGAATCAACGGGAATTGAAGCAAATGAATTTAAAAAATTGAGTTTTTTTTATGTCATCATATGCATTTTGTTTTGTCTGACACGTTTGACTCTGTAGTCTAAAAACTTTTATATGGAGAAACTGAAAAAATCTTAGACTTCAGCACTTAAATATCATACATGTGATAAGTGCGTTGATAAGCAACCCTGTTGAAATATTTATTACGGACGAACGCATCAAAACGCACGGCGACAATAGTATCTGGATGCGCGTTTTGACTACATTTAGACGCTATTTAAAGTTGTTTTAGTAATATTCAGACAAAATTCTGTTTTAAACTGTGTCTGCATACAACTATACCCTTGCGTTTAATCTACATTCAGAGTTGTTCTTTTCTTATATTTCTTATATGTTGTACTTCTCATAGGTTTACATGGACACTAACTTTGAACTTCATCTTTGAGTTAAAGTAAACATTTTTGCCTAACATTCAACTCCTCAGAGATGAGAACGATATATACGTAGTTTGGTTCTGAATTATCTTTTAACTGACTTAAAATTTATCTAATGATATTTTTCTGGTGGTTTTCAGAACAAATGTTATGGGCTTTGATTGCTTTCATCCCCTAATATTTCTTTTCTCTACCTGGGAAATGATCCTCACACTCAATAAATATCTTTTGTGGCAGCTCTGGTGAATTTCACTTTTTTCAAAAGTAATTCCATTCCCAGGGGGTTATATTTTAATTATTTTGAAATGTAAAATATTTCGTTTAACGTATATGTTATACAACAGCTAAATTGATCTTGTGAAAAAACAGTGCTGGTGGTGATATATAAGAAAATAATATTGTTTTAATACTGTTTTCGAAAGAAAGTTTTATACATTTCAAAACTTGATATGTATTCTCATTTACCTCTACTTCATAGTTTAATAAGTCTTCATGAACTTATATGATGGATACAAACATGATGAAATTTCTGGTATGCAACTATTTATTCTTATTTTCAGCTTCATGAAACGCTAATCAGTAATATGTTAAATTACACATCATCAAGAGTAGCTATTCTGAGAATTCGAAATGCAGTAAGACTTTAATACGTCGTCTAAATAAAATATTACATAACTTTCATACTTTTTCAAATGAAAAACATGTCGTTCATCTTACTGTTGCAGATCTAGTCACGCATACTTTGACGAAGTAGTCTGCATTATTGTTGGCACAAGTTGCATTTGCAGCTAGAAACGCGTTCAAATGCTTCTTACCTATGCAAAACGAAAAAAAAGACTGCATTTACATGCGTTACTGGAATTCAAAAGCATCAGCTACGTATAGAGTAAGCGCATTCGGATGTAGAAGTAAAATCCATCGCGGTGAAACGCGTTCAATCTAATATAATTTCCAGTTATGAACGCATTCAGATGCAAAAATGAAATTGATCACATTGAAACGCGTTTAAAAACTACTTTGAATCAGTTTTGATGCGTTTTGAGCACGAAACGCGTCTGAACACATGCAAGACTTTGCAACGCGTTCAAACACCCACATGGTTAGTTTTGCAAAGAGTAGAACGTCGAAGTACGAAAAAAAGAAAAAGCGTGTTCGCCTCGTGCGCTTATGAAAACTTTTTATTTGCCTACTTTTTTCTCTTCTTCTTCCTACACAACGTGACGATAAATATATTGCCAGTGAGTAAAAAATTCATGTTGTTACAATAATTTTGCTGCATTGCAAAGAATATTTGGTATTGCACAGTAAGTCAATTAAATTACTATAGGATATTTCTATCATGAGTAGCATATCATCAGATGTTCGTAATTATTTTAAATTACAACTCCTATTAGCACGCTCATATGTTTTACTTCGTCAATTGTTTAAAAAACGTTTTTCTCAATTTAATGCTGGTCAACTTTGGGATGATACACCAATATGTGGAAATAATTATCTTACTAACGTTGTTGCAAAAAACAAACAAATAAGTTTGACAAAAGTGCAGAAGACATCTGTTTCGAATGGAAACTCAAATAAATGGGATTCAACAACACTCACTGCCCTTCTCATATACGGTGAACGTCCCAAAACACTAAATACAGCTGAAATACAGCAACTCGACCATGAAGATACACTCTTGAAACAATTAAAAGATATTCGAAATGAAGTAGCTCATCATGCAACAAAATCTATTCCTAATGCTGAATCCAATCGACTATGGGCCGATTTAGCAGCCATTCTAGTTGCATTTGGTGATATCGACACCGAATTAGATAAATTCAAAGACGATAGCGTGTTTGAATCGTCTAGTCAACCGATCAATGAAGAAAATGTCAAAGAAGCATCGTGTTTTAACTCATTTGGAGTCCAAGCTCAGAAAGATAGAATTTTTCTGAAGCGATTACCTTCTTTACAAAGGCAACTGTTTTACCGAGAGTTTCAAATCATGATCGTGCTATTTTCTTTTCGAATATGTCTTCTAGTCGACTGGCTTTATACGAACAACAATCAGGTTCTTCTAGTAGGTTTGACATTGACAACCAAATAGATGAACGATATTGTGCACTACAAGATGCGAAACAAGCTCGAAATCTTTGGCCAACATGGTGGAATGGACATTTGCGTGTTAGAAAAGTATATGCTGCTTTAAGTGACCATGAGAAAGCAATCAATTCATTCGAACGAGCACTGGCTCTTGCTCCTACAAATAATGAAATACGAAAAGCATTGGATGAAAGCCGTCAAATACTTGGCCGACAATTACGGCTAGAACATCTCGAATCCAAATTAAGCCCAAGAAGTATCCCTGAACAATTGAGTAAATTACAGCGAAACTTAGGTTTAGATCCCGAAGAAGTACGCATGACTTATCGCTTACTTGAGGAAATCGATCCATCCATATCAGATGTGATCAAAGGACATCAGTATGAACATGGAGATATAAATGTGAAACAAGACTACGAACAAGCTGCTAAATATTTTGAAAAAGCAGCGAATCAAGGCAACGCCGAAGGAATGTATAATTTAGCAAGATTAACCGATCGTGGTTTAGGTGTAAAGAAGGATCATAATCTGGCACAGAGGCTTTTTGAGCAGACAGCTGCACAACCACCACAACATCCTTTATTAGAAGAATTTCCTAATAATGGCGTAGCGTTAGCCGAACATGCTTTAGGTCTAAGATACGCCGAGGGTGTTGTTGTTCATAAGAATCTACTATGTGCTGCTTACTGGTATCAGCGTGCAGTCAATCATGGCTGTGGTGAAGCAGCCAACAATTTAGCGATAATGTATGAAGATGGTATTGCTGTAGATAAAAATCTTGACAAAGCTCAACAACTATACGAAATGTCGGCTAGAAAAGAAAATTCACCAGCTATGTTGAGTTTAGCTCATCTCTTGCTGGACAAAAATGAACTTCCAATGGCAAAGATTTGGTACGATAGAGCGTGCGAAGCAGGTAGTATTCCTGCTCAAGCTAGTCGCGATGTATTTGAGAAAAAATTACGAGAGAAGCAGCAGTCAATAAATCAATGTTCATCGGATGAGTTGAAAGTCATTAATGTAAGAAAAAATGTTTTAGACTCATTGAAAGCAAAGAAAACTATGTATAAGCAGATTGACCAGTCAGATGTCTATGATTATGACGTGTTGAATCAGTATGCCAATCGTGGCTCAATGACAGCAAAACAGATGTGTGATGGTCTCCAGCATTTTTATCGAGCTATGTCAATACTTATTCAAACTGAAACGTTAACGGAAAGTCAAGAGAATGAATTTGTACATGAACTTTCACAATGTTATCGTATCGAGCACATTGTCGCTCAAATTCCTGGCGTAGAAATGTATCAAAAAACAGACGATATTGTTGACCATGTGCTGCATCGATGTAGTAGAGAGTTGAATGATGCTGTTTCACAGCTCGATGAAGATGCTCGAATATGTTATGCTGTGTTACATATGGACTCAAAGGAATTCATCGCTCAATTTCTCGGTCCATGTAAACAGAAATATCCAAAATCAATATTTTTTTTCGAATTAAGTACAAGTGTGAATGCTTTGTTAGGTCAGTATGAGACTGCTTTGTACGACGCAAATACTGGGTTGGAAATAGATTCAAACTATTATGAACTGCTGTATTGTAAAGCCGCTGCACTACGATTGATAAACAAAGATATAGATGAGACTATCAGCGCATATCGAGCATTTTTGGCTGTCGTACCCGAGGATCATCGTAAAGTACCTGAATCATATTATGCAATGGCTAGTTGTCGTTTCATGCACCTTAAGCAGAATGATACAACAGATATTATCAAGAAAGTATATCAAGAAGGTGAAGAAACAGAAAAGAAACAACTACCATGCTTTCTACCGTATGACTCAAGCAGTAAAACTTTCCTTAAACATGTACTCAACGAAAAATCTTTATTAAATGCAGAACCAGCTCCTATCGTTGATTGTAAATTACGTCTAATAGATCCATATCGAATCGAAGCCATATCGAAACATCGTGAATGGGAAAGTCATAGAAACAATCTAGACCATAGTGTTATATCCGGTGCTCACGAACCTAGAGTTAAACAACAAATACCTAAATCATTAATTGAATTGAAATCAATTACATTACGAGAAATGAATTCAACAAGAGATCATATTTATAGCGGGTATGTGCTTTCGGTGACAATC